AGGTGGTGAGAGAGTGGTGAAAGGCGTGTGAGGTGAGCTAGGGGTGGCCGCTGAGGAAGTGGCAGGGACAGGGGTCCCCGTACCTCTGGTGGTGGCCGTGGGTGTGACGGTGGTATGAAGAGGAGAGACGGTGGAGTGAGGTAGAGCTGACGAAGGGTGCGAGGAAGAGGAACTGGTGGTCTTGGCTGTGCCTATGGTACTGTGAGTGGTCGTGGTAAACGGAGCCATGGAGGATGGTGTGGGCTGTGAGACAGTGTTGGGAACAGGTGTGGTGAGGAGGGCGGTGCTAGTGTGGCTTTGTGGAGATTTGGAAGAGAGTGTAGATTCTGTCGATGTGATCATAATTGGCTTTGTGTGTGATGTCAATGGTGTCGTAGGTGCTGATGACTCTTCAGTGGTCTGAGTATTTTCTGGAATCCGCGTTTTTGTTTCTTGTTCTTGAGTTGTGACTGCTTTGTCTGTTGACCAAGGAGCTGCGAGACAATAGTGTGTCACTCTTCCCTCTGTATCCCCTTGGTATGAGCCTTTCCTGCTCTCTCTTCCTCTCCGTGAACCTTCTTCCTCTCTCTGAATCTTCTTCTATGGGTTTCTAACTTGTAGTAGAACTTGATGTCAGGGTTAATGCAGTTCTGACTTTCCGAATACCGTGTGCCCCTCACATCTCTTCCCATCCTTCTAATACCCCTCCTGGCCCTGTCTTACAGGGAAGGAAGTAAATCTTTTGTTTGGTGGCCCTGTTTCCTTGCAGTATTTGAAGTCTTTTCTGTGTGTTCACACCCTCTGTTCCACATGTAACCCTCTTGTATCACCTGGTTCTGGTCATCACCTCCTCTCTTTCATGGTGTATGTCACTGCTGCTCACGTTGTACTCCAGCGTTAGGCACTCAAAATCCATTGGCCATGTGGACACTGTGTGTCCTTATAGTGCCTGACCCTTGATGCCTACCCCGTATCCATCTGCTGGTTTTATGTGTGTAGTTCTCTTGGCCTACTTCCCTGCTTGGTGTCATGGGTGTGTCATGTCTTGCTCCTCTGGGGCCCTGTCCTGATGCTGCAGGTACAGGCCTGAAGGTTCTGCAGGGGGCCTAGTCTTGCACTAGTGGGTACTCCCTGGAGATACACTCACCTGGTGGGGTCCCTGAAGTCCATTTTGGTGTCACTGGAGTGGCTGTGGGTGATGTGGTACGCGCTGTGACCTGGGCTGTGGTCTGTGTCAGTGTGGGGAGGGGAGGCCCTGTTGGCCAGCTGGTCGCATGTGTCACCGTGGCTCTGGTGGCTGTCATAGCCTGAGTTGACGTTGGCGTTAGTTCCGATGTGACCCATGGTGTGACAGCCAAGGTGCTTTGAGCTGAAGCTGTAGAAAAGAGCATTCCCCTTAGCACCCCCTCAGTGCACCTGGTGCTGCTGACCATCTCCCCACCCCTAGGGCCGTTCCATGCTTTCCTCATGCCTTGTGCCCTTGGCATGGCCCTGGCACGTGTCTGAGGTGCCTCCTCCCCGTGCCCAGCACCTGAAGCTGTTATCAGCTCTGGCTGAGGGGTGCTTGCATCAGGATGCTATGAGGGTCAGGGAAGGACAGCCTTCTCACCCTTAGCCAACTGGGTGGGACTCTAGCCTAACTGTGGAGGGTTGGGGACTGTCCACACACTGTCTTGCAACAGTGTCAGGTCATCTGTGACCAGCTTAAAAGTGCTTTCAGAAAAATACCAAGTGTTCCACAAAGTGGTTGGTGGTAGGGGACCTGGAAGACAGAAGATCTGCTCGGGAGACAAATGGCTTGCAGGGAACAGTGGGGACCACGTTTGTTCTGCTGGTGGAAGAGGCCACCAGGCTAACTCTAGGATTGGCCGGCAGGCTGGGGGGTCATTCTTGGGCTTACGGGTGTGGTGGAGCTAAGCAGACCACTGCTGGCTGTCCATTTGGCGCATGCAGCCAGCAGTCAGCACCGTGGACAGTCTCCTGGACAGAGAGGCACACCCTCTGACAGCTCTCTCCCAGCCCGAGTCTGGCTGTGCTGCTTCTGGCTGCCAGCAGCTCACAGGACCCCTGGAATCTGGCTGAGGGGTGCTCCTGCATGCCACAGAGCTGGTCTATGCGGTGTGGTACCTGCACTCCAGGAACCCCGCCCCTCCACGCACCATAGGGCTGCTCTCTGCACAGAGGGAGGGGTCTTGAGGCTCGCTGGTTGGGCTGGCCAGCTGAGCAAGGGGCAAGCATCAGGGAAAGACACTCCCTCAATCAGCCTGGCACCAAACGGTGCATTCACCTGTGGTGGGCGGTGGCGACGTGGTGGCTGGTGCTGGCGTGGTGGGCGGGGCTGTAAGGGAAAGAAGGTGGTTGTGTGGCCAGGGGTGGGCTTGAGTTACAGGCTCTCCAGCCGGTGCTCCCCATCTGTCTGCCTCAGCCCTTCTCCAGCCTTCCCCCTGCCGCATCCTCCGCCCCTCCACTACCGTCCCAGGGACCTCCCCATCTTACACCTACTCCAGGCCTTTAAGCCTCCTGGCGTCCGTTTTACAAAGATTCGTCCCCTGCCCCCCAAGAGCATCTGACACAAATGGAGGGGAACTGGACTGTCCCTCCATGGAGAGTCGCTGCAGCCATGGGGACACTCACCACATGGCACACACGTGCCCTTGCTGGGATCGAAGTAGTGGTCCTGGGAGCAGTTGTAGCAGCCTAGTTAGAAGACAGAGCTTTGGGGACACTGGATCCCTCCCCAGCAACCCCCCTACTTGCTGGTTCACGACCTTGAAGGGGTGGCCACACCGCTGGCCAGTGTCTAGCTCAATGCTGCCCATGGGCCCTAAAAACCACTGGTGGTGGGTCCCCAACAGGCTGCCTCTTGTTCATGGACTGCCTCAGTGGCCCCCCACCTGAACCCCTCCCTCCGGACAGGCCCTCCCTGGGGTGTGACCACCAGCCTGCTGTTAGCCCATCCCTCAAGGTGTCCTATGGGCCTCTGCAGAGGCTTCCAGATGGCTGCGCCCCCAGGGTCACTGGCACACACTTCTGTACCTCAGCCAGGCCCCATGGGCATCCCAGGGCTTCTCCCAGGGCCCCTGCCCCCCACCTTTGCACCTGTCCTTGCCTCCAGCCTCCACTGTTCAACCCAGGTCAGCTCATAGCTTCCTTTGCTAGAACCTTCTTAGAGCTAAGGTCACAGTCTTGGCCAAGGCCCTGCCTGGTCAGCTGTCCCTGCACCCCCTCCCCTCCTCATTCCATCACCCTGTCACCTGGTCCTAGCCCCTCCACACCCACATCTCCCTCACTCTCTCACTTCTCCTTTACCTGTCCCCTGTCCCCCTCGCACCTCATCCCCACATCCCCTCACTCTCTACCTTTGCCTTATCCCTTCACTTCAACCTTACTAGCACCCCTTTACCTCATCCTTACCCCCACACTCCCTTACCCTATCTTCACTCCATCCACACCCCATCCTCACCCCATCCTCACCCCACACTCCCTTACCTCCAGTCTCCTACCCCATCTTCACCCCCATACCATCTCACCCCATCCTTGCCTCATCCTTGCCACTATAGTACACACCCCTCTCCCATCCTCTCCCACGCACCCCCACCTCATCCTTGCCCCCCCACACCCTCTCCTCCATCCTCGCCCAGACACTCCCTCCTCCCTCTTCACCCTCCTTGCACCCATTCCTCCCCTTCCCCTCCCCTCCCTAGCCCACACTCCTCCTCCCCCTCCTCTGCACCTCCCCAGCCCACACTCCCCCACCCCTCTTTTCACCCCCTCCCCCTCCTCACCCCTACACTTCCCCAGCCCACTCCCTCTCAGTCCTCCCTGCCCCTCCCTGCTCTTGGTGGCCCTATAGCACAATCTGCTCCTGCTATGGGTTTCCTGGTGCCCCTCTGCTCACAGTCATGGCAGCCTTGCATTCTCTTGGCCTGTCGCTCCCTCAGCCTAGAGGACAGGGCTGCTTTGCCCGTCGTCCTTGATGACCTCCAACAGGCAGGGCCCGCACAGAATCAGGGCCCACTGGCTGGCCAGACCCTGGTGCCTGTACCTTCGATGTTGACATGAGGGTGATTCTGCAGCTGGTTGGGGCAGAGGCAGGGCTGGTAGTGCCACGTGCAGTTGACTTCATTCACATACTGGTACTCTCTGCTGAGGCCCACTTTCTCATGAGTATTGTAAAAGTCACAGTAGACAGCTGGGGGGACACACCAGGCTCGCTGAGTTAGGACACCAGGCTAGGGGGGACACACCAGGCTGGGGGGGACACCAGGCTAGGGGGGACACACCAGGCTGGGGGGATACCAGACTGGGTGGATACCAGGCTGGCTGGGGGGATACCAGGCTGAGGGGGACACCAGGCTGGGGGGGACATTAGGTTTAGGGGGGGAGGACACATGGCTGGGGTATGAGGATATCAGGCTGGCTGCAGGGCAGGACAGGCTTTGAGGAAAGCTGGCTGGGGGGAGGCCGGGACCTGTCTGGTGTGGAGGGCCTCTGGGCTCAGGGGAGTCACTCACGACAGAAATCAGGGGTCCTCCAGTCCACACAAACGCCCTTGTCGAGGCAGGCCTTGGCGTAGGCGGCTACTGCATCACAGAGACACTCGCAGTCCCCACCTGTGTCGCAGCCACACGCATCACGCACACAGGCATCGTAGTAAGGCATGCGGTACACCTGTGCATGGGCTCCAGGTCACTAGAGGCAGGTGTGTGCGGGCCTCACCCTGGGGTCTGAGCCACATACTGCTTGGCTGTCTGGAAGGTATCCCTGGGCCCCTGTCAAGGGTGTCTGGGAAGGCTGATCATTCCCTCTTCCAGAGCCAGGGCAATGACCAGCTGGTTACTGGGCAGCCTGCACTGGTCCCTCTGCCAGTACCAGTCCTGGGCTGTCCGCATCCAAGGCTGTCGCCTGTCCTGAAATGTCCCCTCTCCTGGGCTTTCCCCTCTCCTGGGCTGGCCCCTGACCCGGGCTGGCCCCTGGAGTACTCATGCTCTTCTCTGGGAATCTGCTACAGCATTGACAGCCCCCAGTGCAGGGGGCCTGGCCCAGTGTCCACAGGGGAAGGTTGAGGGCCCAGTCTTAAGTGGCCATTCAAGTGGCCTGCACACAACCTTACTCTCTCCTTCTTCCCCCTAAGGTGAGAATCCTGTCCATTTCAGATTTGAACCCTGGGTTGAGACAAGATGTGGCACACCTGAGCACAGGTGTGGTGGGCGCGTGTGGGACAGTAGGGATGACAGGCACTGGCCAGTGTGGGTGGTTCTCCTCTCTGGGGCCTCTGGAGGTGCAGCTACCTGGTGGTGGGAGTGGCGCCCCTCAATGCAGAACCGTCGATGGGGAATCCTTCCCTTCAGCTCGCACTCTCACTGACAGTGTTCTCTTGTCCCCCCACTTCTTCCTTCGCCTCTCTCCTGCCCTCTCTCTGCCCCCGCACCTGGCTGTGGCAGGCCGCGAAGGTCTGACTGTTGATGATGCTGCACTTGCGCTGGGCCCAGGAGAGGCGGAACGTGTTGAGGCTGCAGGTGTCCACCACAAAGCCCGCGTCCCCACACAGCGGGTTCTCCTTCCATGAATTCACAAAGTCCAGCTCGTTGGAGACCACGTACTTGTTGCGGGTCTCGAAGTCGTCCTTCATGTCCCCATTGTAGTTTCCGCACAAGCCACAGAGAGTGTCCTAGAGGAGAAGCCACAGAGAGTGTCCTAGAGGAGTTGGAGAAGCTCAAGCCATCAGACCCTGGTTCCTGGCCTGCTTCCCCTCCAGCCCAGACAAGTCCCGCCCCCAGCCCAGACAGACCCGCCCCCAGCCCAGACAGACCCGCCTCCAGCCCAGACAGACCCGCC